TGATTTGCTTCTCCTATCCTATATAGATAGATATTTTTCATTTCTAGTGTCCATTGCCACTTTAGACCCAACTAGTCCGGCGTGACTTTATTCCCATACTCGAATCCCATATTTCTTAATAAAGATGAAGGATGCTTACAACAACGTGAACTTGCTCTTCTTTAGCAGTTGTTCCTATTATACTCTTCAGTAAGTTGCATTTTACTCTTCTTTGACCTAATCCATTTCCCCTTTTCGCCATTATTTCAATATTACAGATTGATTGTCTTCTGAAACTCATTAATTGTCCATTATTATTTGGGCTTTTTCTCTCTCGTTTTGACACCCCCCTTTTTCTCCTATCTCTCTCTTCGAACATTTGCTAAACTACCACCACCAGCGAGTTTGCCGGTGCCAGCAACCACCTAGGTAGGCCCGTCCCTCTCCTCTCCCTCTCTTTCCACTCTCCTCTTCCCCTCTCTCTTCCATTTCTTCTCTCTTCCCCTCATTTTTTTGTTTTCTTTTTCCCTAGCTTCTATAAAACCTAGCAAGGATTGTCTTCGTTGGCGACAATTCCGGCCGGCGACCCATCTCTTCTCTCTCTTCGACCCTCTCACTTTCTCCCCTCTCCCTCTATCTCTCTTCGAACATCTGCTAAACCACCACCACCGGCGATCTTGCCAGTGCAGGCGACCCCTCCCCTTGGTTATCCTCTTTCTTCTCTCTTTCTTATGTGTCGCCCCTTCCCCTCCTTTTCCCCCTTCCTTGTATTTAATTCTTTGGCCCTCTTCGCTGCCCTCACCGGCGATCTGTTCCGGCGTCGTTATTGGGTAGCCAGGGCTACCATAGAGTTAGTCACCAGTTGCAGCGATGATAGTCCCCCATGTTGGTTTCGTGGTTGTTTTGTTGTGATTTTTCGGTTTCTAAATGCAGCATTTGCAGACGAGAGAGAGGAGAACGAGCAAGCAGTGCAGAATATCTCTTGTTGGTGTTAGCAAGGGCAGGTGAAAAGTTGAAAGGGAGCACGTAAGGACGGCTCCATAAAATTAATGATAGTATAGAATTCTTAAATGGTAAAGCTTTTAACTTCAAATAGTAATATTATTATTTATATTAGTAAGAATTAACTTAAATAAATAAGATGTTAGACATGTATTTTTAATATTACCTTTGATATTGTTGTAAAAAAAAATATTCACTAATATGAACATTTAAATAATTTAATTCAATGTTCTAAAACAAATTGGTGTTAAAGAGTACACAATCTTTCTTTCTTTCTTTTGTCCAAGGTTTCTTGTACTTTTTTTTTCGCAAACTTTAATATTGTCTAACTTAAAATAAAATAATAAAATACATTTTTGAAAAATATTTGCGACCTAAATCAAAGATTTACTAGTCTCCTACTTGAGCCATTTGTCCACTCCTAACATTCTCAATCAATATTTATAGAGTCTTAATTAAGACAAGACAACAATTAGTGAATGTGTTATTTAGTTACTAAATATGAATGAAGCTGGTCGAACAACACGTTCATGGGGCAGTGATCTATAAATATGATCATTAATTAGGGTTCGCAACAAAACTTTAACAAGTGTCAAATTTTAGGACAAAATTAGTTAGGTTAGTTAATAATTAGTTACTCTTTTTGAATTTGAATTTAAAATAATTAAATATCTACATATTTTAAAGAAACTACTATAACAAGGGAAAAATATATAAATATATAAATTCAATGTAGAGATATATCAAATAATAAGACTAATTTATTTTTTGATATAAGAAAGTTTTTGAATAATAATTCATATGGTCATGCTATATGCTATATGAATAACATAAAATTAACGGAAAAAAATATAAACAATATTATCAAGAAATAAACAAAATATATAAAGATATACTTTAACTTCTTATGTAGTAATCTTAATTAAAAAAAAACTTTCATATTAAATACAAACGGGAAGAACAATTATTATTTTTTTTTATTGAAAATAATACAAAAATAATAATAATTATAATTATTAGTAGCTTTATGACATAATAAAATAACTTCTCTGTTTAACCTTTGAACTAATTTAACACCATCCATTTAGAAAAATAATACAATAATATTCGTATTATAGATAAACACTAAATAAAAAAACTAATGTATACAGAGGAGAATAGATATAATGTGATTCTATCCATACTTTAAATTTATTTAGTAAAATTAAGTAAATAAATAGTACTCAAAAATATTATTGATAAATTTAAATATCAAAATAATTATGAGAAAGTCATACACGAAAAACTCAAGTTAAATCAAGAGTAATACAAAATTATATTCATTGTATTATATTAAACTGATAATTTATTAAAATTCATATGATAATTTAATAATATTCAGTAATGGATAATATAATTAGATAAAAGGAACAAAAAAAAATCTAAATTTGTGGAAAAATATAAAAACATAAGACTTATAATTAGAACTGTGATGAGAAAAGTCATACTTATACACATAACCAAAATCATAATAAAAAAATAGTTATAAAGGAAGAATACTATAAAAAAAAATATGCGATAGCGTAAAAATATATGTACTAACTAAATTTCTGATGTAGGAAATTTTAGTTAATAAATTGAACTCATAATTTCATAATGAAAAATAATTTCATAAGATAAGCATATTATATATATATATAACACAAATTAATAATTAGTAAAAATATTGGTAGATTTTATTTATTAAAATAATAAAAGGCTTATCTCTTTATACCCTTGACGAATTCAAAATTATAATTTAGTAAAAAATTATTACATTATTTAAATTCTCAGTAAACTACAAAATGAGAAAACTAATCAAATATTACAGTAGAAAAGAATGTACGAACAAAGGGGGATAAAGATAATTTTATAATATTTATATTTTGAATTAATTAAGAAGTAAAAGATAAATAAATACCACTCAAAATATTATTGATAAATTTAGACAGTTGAAAATTTTGAACAATATAACATAAATTTAGAAAAATAAAAATATTTTCATAGTAAGAAAGTATATATATTTATGTTATATTAAAAGAGAAGTAGTATCAAACTATTAAGCCAATTGACAAGTTAATAAAAAGTCACATTAGTAAATGTATAGTACTAAATACTTGTTAATTTAATAAAGAATAAATAAGAACCAAACAATTTATTTTTATATGATGTGTATCTTTTGATTTTGTATAGATTTTGTTATATTTCTACACACTATATTAAATAATAAAATAACAACTAATATTTATTATAATAATATGATATATTAGATCATAATTTTATAAGATTAATACTTTGTCAAATTATTCTCGCGCAGGTTCTAGTACTAATAAAGGATTAAAAAGCAAGGGCAAACTTAAAAGAAACCTATAGAAAACAAGTTTAAGTGATGCGTGTGCCAATCACATACAAATTACTTGACACGTTGTTTCTATTTTTCACATGGTTGATCCGCTTGTTTTTATCTTCGAGGAAATGGGTAATGTATGCACGAGTTTTAGACTAATCTTAGCATTTAAGAAAAAAATTAATATGGCATGTGATTAACAGCAATAACAACATAGTGTAATTTTACATTGTGGGATATGGTAGGATAAGAGTATGCAGACCTTACTCTTCCTTGTGGGGTAGACTATAGAGATACTGTTTTCAAAATAATTCTAATCAGATTTGAACAAGAGAACAGTAATAAGGTCATGTCAGAAACACTAAAGAAAAAACATTTATAACAATACAAAGCATTAATATAACCAAGCAGGGCTGCAGGGGGACAAAAGATGCCACTGGACACCAAAAATAAGAAAATACTAAAATAATAATAGTAGTATTGGTATGGAAGACAAAAACAAACAACCAAAACAAACCTAGCAGATACTGAAATATCATGTGATCATGTCCGAAATTTTTTACGTATTTACATCGTATCTTTCGTTGTACTAAGTTCCTTTAAACTTGTTTCATAATTAATGATGAATTTTTTTTGTAGTGGTTTTTATTTTTTCTTTGATACATATTTTTGAAGTAATCAAATGATTCAGTAAACAAGCTAGCTTATAGATCTTTATGTTAGCCAACACAACGCTTGAGACGATGATCAAAGAACTGTGATTCTATTGTATGCTATAAAGTCATGAACTAACTTTAGATGAACATATTGCTCTTCCTTTTTATCCATCTTAAAATTAATGAGCAGCCTAACTTTTATAAAATGAAAACATATTACATGTCGACTGGAAAAAAAATATTATATGCTGTTCAAGTTTCTCTGAAGTGTGAATCAAATAAAGTATTTTCACTCCAAACACTAAAATTTATGATATATTTACAATATGCATCCATAATTTTTGTCACAATATTATACTTTTCTTAATTACATGTACATGTTAAAGTGAGTGCCGATGCATCCACTTTCTTAATTATATTTTAATTCTTTATTCAGTATTCAGTATTTGCTTTGAGGTTTGATTAGTCCGATCTTGTGTTAGAAAGTCCCACTTTGAGAGTAAACCTTTTCGGCGATTAGATTCTTAAATCTCAAACTCAAAATCTCTAGTTTAGATTTCAAAGGTATATACTACTCTATCACAAATTGAGCGGTGTTTACGCTAATCCACAATTTATTATTGAACTTCGGTGCACGCCCAAGTAGAAGAATATGCAAATTGAGGACTACCAATGAAATTTAGGGTCTACTTACAATATTTGCTTAAAGTTAAAGAGTTAGTTATTTAACTTAAAGAGAATAATTTGGTTACATATACATTTTCCTTAAAATTCTAAATTATTGTGAAAATTATTATTTTAATTAAAATACCTCTCAAAGCAATTGTTCAACTTTGAAATATCCAGTTTAAGTAGAAATTGAAATAATTGACATACTTTTAAAAGCAATTATTAAAGTATAAATAGAACTTATTTCAATATTTTGCAAATAATATGCATGTTCGAAAGCCTATTTAACAGTTGCATTTAAGATTTATCCATTTTATTTTCCACGCAATAAAGAATCAATAAAAAGCTAGTGGTGTTCGTTGGATTCAAACTCCCTCCACTCATTACGATGACACTCTCTCTTCTCTCCCCTTCTCCGTCTGCTCTATGCTTTGTCGGTTCCACTTCTAATTCGTCGTCGGCTGACTTCACCGGCCATTTCAGAAAGCTATGGACAAGCAGAAGCAGAACCGGATCGGCACTTCCGGTTCTCACGAGAGCTTCTTCAGAGAAAGACGATGATAAACCGGCATTCAACCCGTTCGGTTTTGTCACTGACAATCCGTCTAGCCGAAGTGCAATTCAGATGCCTGAGAGTCCCGCCGAGGACGGAAACGTCGGCCAAATGCTTTACGTAACTCAATTTCCTATCTTAATTTTGTGACTTTACTGATACAACAGGCTAAAGTTTAGTGACTTTAATGATACAAAAAGTAGTCTTGTGAATTTACTGATAAAATGGGTAGAGTTTAGTTGCCACGCGTGAAATTAAACCTGCATTAGCGTAAATTACTAGTTCCAGCCTGAAATTCTTCGCAGAAATCATTGAAGGAACTTAGTGATTATTTCGTGTAGAGAATTGAAGACAAAGGAAAGGAATACGGATCATATGTCAAATCAGGAAAATTTAGGTGGTTTGTGAGAGAAACAGGTGAGATTTTTATTTGCATTCTGGTTGAATTGATTTTGTTTGTAGTTGAAGGACTTTAAAATGTTCAAGTTTGCCCATTGCAGGATCACCTGAAAGCAGACGCGGGACAGTTATATTTCTCCATGGAGCTCCAACACAATCATACAGCTATCGAGTTGTTATGTCTCAGGTTCTAATTCTGATATTAGATTTCACTACCTTTGGAGTTAGAAATTTTTGCTAACAGTATAGGATAGTCAGGACTGATAAGGACCTTGGCTCTTTTTGTGGTGCCTATTTCTATTTAGTGAATTATTAGTCATAGTATTAACTTGCTAGTATTATATTTCACATTTACTTAGCACTTCATGCATCTCAATTTTTATGGCATTCTTTCTACTTTGGGATGTTCCGAATTGTTTGATACCTTTTAATTTTTTTCTAAAATTTTCACAACTTTCAAGAATATTTAAATTCACTAAGCAAATTTTTAAAGTTGACGTGATGTTTTCTTTGTCACACTAACTTTTCGGTCATTACTTTAGTATTTTCTATTTTGAGATAATCTTTCTATGAAATTCATGACCTATTCAATTTTAAATTTCTGTTCTCAAACCAACTTTTAATATAGTATTTTCTTCTTCCATAATTATATAATGTATAAGTCAAAATGAACTTCTTACAATCCATCTCAATCAAATACAACAACAACAACATACCAGTATTATCCCACATCGTGGAGTGTGAGGAGGGTAGTGTGTACGCAGACCTTAGCCCTACATTTGTGAAGGTAGAGAAGCTATTTCCAATAGACCCTCGGCTCAGGAAAACATAAGTATCACATTAATTAAGAGATAGACAAGGAGGAACAACACCAAAAAGCCATGTAAAAGCAGCATAAAAACAACACGATAATAAGATGATCAAAATGAAAGAAAACGACGGGTAGTCAAAGAAACCTACTACCAACAGAATGTGAGAGTGCGTACTAATACTACCGGTATGAACAATCTAGATCACCTACCCTACTACCCAAATCCTCGACCTCCACACCTTCTTATCAAGGATCATGTCCTCGGTCAGATGAAGCTGCGCCATGTCTTGCCTAATCACCTCTCCCCACTTCTTCTTCGGCCTACCTACCTCTGTAGGCCCTCCAATGTCAACCTCCTCACCGGGACATCTGTGGATCTCCTCCTCACATGTCCAAACCACCTAAGCCTCGCTTTCCGATCTTGTCCTCAATAGGGGCCACACCCACCTTGTCGCAAATAACCTCATCCCTAATCTTATCTAACCTGGTGTGCCCGCACATCCATCTCAACATGCTCATCTCTGCTACCTTCATCTTCTGGACATGGGCGATCTTCACAGACCAAAACTCAGCTCCATACAACATAGTAGGCCTGACCACCATTCTGTAGAATTTACCTTTAAGTTTTGGTGGCACCTTCTTGTCACACAAAACACCAGAAGCGAGTCTCCATTTCATCCATCCTGCCCCAATACGATGTGTGACATCTTCATCAATCTCCCCATCCCCCTGAATAATAGACCCAAGATACTTAAAACTTCCTCTCCTAGGAATGACTTGTGAGTCCAGCCTCACCTCCTTTCCCCCTTCCCTGAGTCTCACCACTATTCTGTCTTGGTCCTGCTCAACTTGAAACCTTTAGACTCCAGGGTCTGCCTCCACACCTCTAACCTCACGTTCACACCGCCTCGCGTCTCGTTAATCAATACAATACCATCTGTAAATAACATGTACCAGACATCTGAACTTAGAAGATGCTCCCAGGCACGCTTCCCGAAACTCTTCTCTCCCTTCTTCCTCCTAAGACTACACCATCCCCACCAAGAGCCAAGCTTCCCGCGTCCAAACCCCAGTGAAGTTAACCGGCAAACGAGCCCTCACGCGCCCTCACGCGCGGCCAACTCGCGTGCTTTTCCGGCGAGATCTCAGCCACGCGCCGACGCGTGTGACTTTTTCCGGCGACTTTTCAAACTTTTTTCTTCAGACAACCTCCTCTCGAGGATTTTCCGAGCCTTCCTGTTTCGGTTTCACCAAATTCCGACGTCTCTTTCTTTTTCCGGCCATTAAACATCAGATTCCGGCGGAATCTAACATTTCTTTCTTCTAAATCAGTATTCACTCACTGTGATTACTACCAAACCTCCTTTTTTCACATAACCTAAGTAGAAGTTAGCACTAATATGGGAGAAAACAGGATATACTTCAATGCCGGCTTCAAATCTTTCGATATCACCAGATGGAATTCCAACAAAGACATATGGTTTGAATGGGTGGAGAGAAGTCGCAATATGATGAGACGCTCATCCATGGGCAGAAAGACAATGGAATGGATTTGCTACGTACTTAAAGAAGCATCGAAAGACCACAAGAATTTAGTAAAGAGATGGAAAAATAGGGACCAACTAACAGAATATTTATGTACTAGGAAATTCAATGCCCATGGAAGGTATATGAGTATTTTGTCATTAAAGGGAGAAGGAAGATCAGTCATTATTATCCCAAAGTTGGCCTCGAATGCAGGCTGGAAAGACATAGCATTTAAGATAGAAAGATTCATTTATTATGCTCCCAAGCTGAATGTCACAGTACCACCCAGAAACACGGTGGATAACTACCCTTATGTCAAAGCAGTTAAGGAGATTAAATGGCAATCCAATACTCTCCGAGAGGCAGATGTCAGTACAAAAAAAGGAGATATCTCTATTTTGGAACCACCCGGAATGGAGAACACTGGTTTGCTGAAAAGATGCATTATTGGGTTTGGAACCACCCGGAATGGAGGACACTGGTTTGCTGAAAAGATGGAAATCACCGAGAGATGCATTATTGGGTACTTTGGGAAGGAAATCACCGAGAGACCCTCATTAGCAGACATAAGGCGATGGGCTACTACTTTATGGAACAAAGCCTTTGGGGTCAACACGTATGNCTTCATGGAACAAAGCCTTTGGGGTCAACATGTATGAGATGACTGGTAACATGTTTCTATTCGAATTTCCGAATAGATACATGGCTGAGCAGATTCTTCAAGGAGAATGGAGATGGAAAAAGTTCAAGTTTCATCTGGAATGGTGGAACTACACTGTTGGTTGCATACCAAACTCTCAAATTGTGAAAACCTGCTGGATTAGAGCCATGGGGATTCCCCTATATCTGTGGTCACAAAAGATCTTCAAAGAAATAGGAAATCTCTGCGGGGGATGGATAGCTACTGAAGAAGAAATTGATCTCAAAAACCATCTCAAGTGGGCCAAAGTTCAAATTGCTGGTGATGACAGAAAGATACCTAATGAGATTGTGATTGAAAGAGAAGGGATCAGATTTTTCATTCCAATATGGGCTGAAAAACAGGCAAGATTTGAACTGAAGTCGTTGGAAAACCTAGACAACGTCGGAGAAGATAAAGAAACGAAACTCACAAGAAACCAGTGGACAAAGGAACCCTATAAGCAACTAATGGATAAAGGCAGTCAAACAGCTATAGACGTGATGGGCGAGAACATGGGGTGTACTGTATTGCAAATTAAAAATAAGGGAAAGGCACGTGTGCAACACATGCAAGGTCCAAGTTTTAATACAATTGATCTGGGCCTTAATGATCCAAATGCTGAGTTGAAATTAAATGGGCCTGATTCTGCAGCCCAGGTCATTTTTAATGACCTTTTACGTGATCCCACTGAAGAAAAAAGAATGACGCCTTTTATTGAGGAACTGAGCAGCGCCTCTTGCTCGAAAATTCAAGAAACCAACGTAGGGGATCCAATTCCCACTGCAAATCTTGAAATTATGGCACATGCAATACCACACATGAACTGCGACCAGCCAGAATGTGTAACAGAGACAAGAAAATCGAGACAGAAGGCAGGGGAGGATACTATATGCATGAAAATGGGGGAAGATCAAGTTGATACCAGATTGGAGCACCAACAACAGTTATGTCACCTCAATTCTGATCAAAATTGGGAGGTGGAGGAGGTTACTCCTCTCTCAGTACAACACCACAATTCAGTAATGGAAAAAGAGATGGATGCGACACTGTGGGTACATCAGAATATGAATAAATTGGGAAAAATGTTCGGAATAGATTTTCAAGGCCACGAAGAAGAAGAACTGGAGTTACTCATGCAAATTGACAACTGTAGACAAGTCAGAAGATTGGAGACAGAGGTGGAGGTGAAGAAACAAAGGTTCAAAGGCTCACTGGAACTAAAAGGTTTGGCCTCTTTTGATGTCAAATTTAAGAGTGATGGGAAAAGAAATAGGGAAAAAGATCTGTCTATTATTACAATATGAAGATCAATTTTATAACATGGAATGTAAGGGGATTAAATGACAAGAAGAAAAGGGAGATCATAAAGAGTCAAGAGTACAATTGGAAGGCAGACATTATTTGTCTGGAAGAGACAAAATTGGAGGGGGAAATCAAAGAAATTGTCAGTCAAATTTGGGGTGGGAGATGGGTGAGGTATGCATGTTTAGAAGCTAGTGGCACGAGAGGGGGAATTTTGTTACTATGGGATTGCAGAGTATGGAAAGGGGAGGTGTTACAGATTGGTGCATACACTTTGACATGCAAGTTCGAGGCTCTTTTACAGAACTTCCAATGTCATATAACAGGGGTATATGCTCCTAATTGCAGAATAGAAAGAAGAACAGTATGGAGGGAAATTGGTGCAGTGAGGGGCCTGATGGAAGGCCCTTGGGAAGTTTGTGGTGACTTTAATGTCACAAGGTACCCCTCTGAAAAACGGAACTGCTCGAGGAGGTCCAGTGAGATGGTGGAATTCTCAAATTTTATAGAAGACATGGAGTTGATAGATCTTCAACTCGAAGGAGGCTCCTACACTTGGTTCAAATGGGATAATCATACCACTGCTTCAAGAATTGACAGATTTCTAATTTCAGAAGAATGGGATGATAGCTTCAGAAATATCTAGAAAACTATCCAACAAAGGCTGATCTCTGACCATACCCCTGTGGCCCTACGTTGTGGTGCTTGGGAGTAAGATAAATCGTACTTTAAGTTTGAAAATTGGTGGCTGAATTCCGAAGGTTTTGATGACAGAATCAGGAATTGATGGTCTTCTTTTGAATTTTCAGGAAGACCAGACTATATTTTAGCTTGCAAACTAAAAGTTCTCAAAGGTAAGTTAAAAGAATGGAGCAGAAGTTGTAAGGGAAATCTGGGAATGCAAAAATCAAAACTGCTGAGTCAATTGACAGGTTTTGATGCAACACAACAATCAAGAGCTCTGGCAGAGGAGGAATCAGTGAGGAAGGCAGCTATCCTCACGGAATTTGAGGATCACCTCAAGAATGAAGAAAATGCATGGAGACAGAAATCAAGGGCCCTGTGGCTCAAAGAAGGGGATAGAAATACAAAGTTTTTCCATCGCACTGCTAATGCACACAAGAGATGCAACCATATTGACCAACTAGTGATTCAAGATGAAACAGTGGAGGAGCCAAACAGAATAAAGAATGAGATCATTGAATTCTACAAGAAGTTATACACAGAACCTGAAGAGTGGAGACCTGCAACCAATTTCGACAATTGTCCCATAATTTCAGAATTAGAGAAGGAGTCTCTACAAAGCAAATTTGAAGAGCAAGAGGTCCTGAGCTGCCTGAAGATGTGTGCAAGTGACAAGGCCCCAGGTCCTGATGGATACACAATGGGCTTTTTCATTAAGTTCTGACTGGGATATTTTGAAGCAGGACATCATGGAGGCTTTCAACAACTTTCATTCCCAGGAGATGTTTGAGAAAAGCTTCAATGCAACATACATAGCTCTGATTCCAAAGAAAACGGGGGCCAAAGAATTGAGAGATTTCAGGCCAATCAGTCTGATTGAGAGTTTCTACAAGCTGCTCTCAAAAGTCTTGACTGAAAGACTTAAGAGGGTGGTAGGCAAACTAGTAGATGCTCAACAAATGGCTTTTATCAAAGGAAGACAAATAATGGATGCAGTGTTGATTGCTAATGAAGCTGTGGACTCAAGAATCAAACAGAAAAAACCAGGAATTCTATGTAAACTAGATATTGAGAAGGCTTATGATCATGTCAACTAGAGATTTCTGCTGAAAATGTTAGAACAAAGGGGTTTTGGACAGAAATGGGTCAATTGGATAAAATTTTGTATCTCTACTGTCAAATTCTCCATTCTCATAAATGGATCTCCTGAAGGCTTCTTCCCTGCTTATAGAGGTCTAAGACAAGGTGATCCCTTATCTCCCTTCCTTTTCATTATAGCCATGGAAGGCCTGAACAACATGATTAAGGCAGCTAAAGTCAATTTATGGGTTAAAGGTTTTGAGGTTGACAGGAATGGATCAAACAGTCTAGAGATCACACATCTCCAATATGCTGATGATACTCTAGTCTTTTGTGATGCCGAAGAGGAGCAACTGAGGTTTCTGAGGATTATCTTGGTTCTGTTTGAGGGAATCTCAGGACTCCACATCAACTGGAGAAAGAGCCACATTTATCCCATTAATGAAGTTTATAATATGGAGCAACTGACATTTGTACTGGGAGGAGAAGTAGGGTCTCTACCTACTATATACCTTGGGATGCCGTTGGGTGCAAGATCTAAATCCAAAGAGATTTGGAACTCAGTTATTGAAAAATGCGAGAAGAAGCTGTCAAGGTGGAAAGCACAATATCTATCAATGGGGGGAAGGCTAGTCTTAATCAACTCAGTATTAGACTCACTTCCTACTTACATGATGTCTTTGTTCCCAATTCCAGCTGGAGTTATACAGAGATTAGACAAACTCAGAAGATCATTCCTTTGGCAGGGGAATAAGGAAAAAAAGGTCTTCCATTTGGTCAAATGGAAATCCCTCACAGTGGCGAAAAGGCAAGGTGGTCTGGGAATCAGAAACTTGAAGAATCAAAGCAAGGCTCTCAAAATGAAATGGCTATGGAGATATTCTCAAGAATCCCAAAACTTATGGAGCAAAGTGATCAAAGCTAAGTATGGTGAGGAAAATAACTGGGTGTCAAAGAAAGTCAGCACATCATATGGAGTTAGTGTGTGGAAATCCATCAGGGCACTTTGGCCTACAATGAAGAATCACACTTTCATTAGAGTGAATAATGGAAAGAAAACATCATTCTTGAATGATAACTGGTTGGGACATAGATGCCTAAAGGAACTTTACCCTGATATGTTTGGTTTGGCACAAAACCAACAGAAGACAGTAGCTGAAATGTGAACTTCTCAAGGCTGGGAACTCACCCTTAGAAGACTGTTATATGATTGGGAGATAGCAAGACTAACTAACCTCTACAACAAGCTGAAAGCATTCAAAGGAATACAGGAAGGGGTGGACTCACTTTGGTGGCAGAGGCACAATAGAGGGGTCTATCAGGTGAAGGCAGCATATAAGATTTTGAATCAAAGTGATATACAGATAAATGATTGGCCATAGAAGCATATATGGAGAACCAAGATTCCCTATAAGGTAGCTTGTTTCACTTGGCTACTAGCAAA